TCCAGTACCTTTTCCCCGTGTTCGATACATTCTCACTATACGGACGCCCAAAGAAGTTGATTGCGGACGTTCTAGACACCCGCGGTCTGATGTTCGCTATGCCTTCCGACAGGCGCTACGGATACTTGGAGATGTGGGACGTGGTGGGCTTGATCAACACTGAGGGCAGCGACAAGTGGTCAGAGCGCCACTGGAGGAAGCAATTGAAGGACCTCACATCCACACGGATGGTAACTGCGAACCAGGACGCAGAATCCATCTACAGTCGCGCCAGCCGTAGGAATACCGTCAGCCGGGCAGGCTTCACACCTCGTAACCTGCGATTTGAAGACCAAGGCTCCATTCGCTCCAGCCCGTCCACACGCGCGTCCTCCCCTACACGCAAATTCCCAGACTTTGAAGTGCAAGCGCCGCGTCGCGTCGGAACAGCTCCCGCAGCAAACCCATTCGGTACCCCACGCCATCAGCGATCTGTGTCAGAGCAAGTCAACGGACGCAACGAGAACAATCCATCTAGATTCACGCGAGAGGAGACGCCATACGAAGACGAGCGACCGCCGACGCCTCCCCAGCATCGTATACTCAACGGTTCGTCGAACGGGGCGGTCCAGCCTTATGATTCGTCTGCGTCAGATTACGACGAGAGCCCCATCAAGGAGCCACAGAACCTTCCACCGCCGCCTGCAGATCTGTCTGCTCCACCGCAAGGTTATGTCGACCTTCCTCCGACCCAGGAGCACGCTGCCAATCAAAAGCCACCCATTCGTCCCAACATGCCCATGGCTAAGCCAAACCCTGCAGTCGACTCTGCTACACTTCAGCAAATGGCTGACGCTTCACATGGATCCTTTCCAGGGGGCGTAGCTGCCGCTGGCGCAGTCGGGGCTTGGAGAAATCAGGACACCATACAGAGCAGACGCAGTGGTGACTACAACGCGTACGGTGATCAGGGCCAATCGATGTATCTTGGTGTCAACTCAAGGCCGCCTCCAACGAACCAAAACTCTGGGAACCGCCTATCTACCATTCCCGCATCACCATACGTCGAGCATTCCGAGTTCGTCGACTCTCCCACAGGCTACCAGCCGACAGCTCCATCGGTCCCAGAACATAGTGAGTTGCCGCCACAGCCCCCCAGTCACGAGCTCCCTTATCGTCCGCACCCCGAAAGCGGCGGCATACCCCGTAAACCAGTACCAGGTCGGTCTCCCCTAGCCTCGCAAGAGGATGACACCCTTTCGACCAGTAGCTCAAGACTCGACAGTTTACGAGAGGACGTAATCGACCCTGAAGCTCTCGACGCTTTCAACATCACACAGCCCACTCTGAATCGTCAGCCAAGCGGATCAAGCAGTTTCTACGACGATGATGCCATATCGACTTCCACGCCAGACTATGCCAGCATCGCTGAAGAGGAACCTGCGCCTCCTCCACGAAGATTGCCTGAACGACGCACCGATCGACCAAGAAGCGGTGTTCTGACCATGATTGGAGATCCAAACGTAAAGCTTCCCTCAGATGAAGATCCACATGGCTACAAGTCTGTTCTGGACCCAGCACAGGCGCCTGCAGCTGTTCCCAGTATTGACTTTGGTCCGACGTACGCGCTGGACTTTGACGGCAAGCGTCCGGGCACCAGTGGAACCATGACACAGATGCTGCACGATAACAGCGCCTCGCGGTCCAAGGAGAACCTTGCGACTACCCCGAATGAACAGCACCGACTGTCTTATATCTCCGGTGCAGGTTCACCTAATCAACCCATGCATGCGCGCAGTGGTTCGAACTCTCCGCAGATCTCGGATTCACGACAAGTCGCATGGCAGCCTGCTGCAGCCTCACCACAGCAGCCGGACAGGACAAGGCTGGATCCTGAAGACTGGGTGATGCATCGTGCGGCGCATCAGCAGCAGCCTATAATGTATGGACATGGCAGGAGCAAGTCGCATACCCCACCTCCGTTCGGTCGCACGCATTCTGGAGATTGGACTCGTACGCACTCTGGAGATTGGAGTCATATTCAGCGGTCGCCTCAGGGCTCTCCGGGTCCTGCCCGTCCACCCAGCCGCCCTCTAAGCCGCGGTGCTGAGACACTGCTTAATCAACAACCTACTACTTTGTCTGCTCGCGAGCAGGAACAGGTGGCTCGCATGACAAACACTCCTCTTTTGGACCTTTCGCAGAACACCAAGAAAGTGCAAAAGGAGCCTCCGACAGGTCTTACAGGTTACATCGATTATCGCGAGAAGGAGAAGGCGGCTCACAAGGCCAATCGCCAGAGTTTTACACCGACCATGCAAGCTGAGATCGACCGACGCACCTTGCAGACCCAACAGCGCCAAATGATGGAGGTCCAGCAACGCCAGCAGATGATGATGCAACAGCAGATGCAGCAACAATATGCAATGGCTCAGAGCAACTATGCGCCGAGCATGATGGGTACTCCCAGTGTTATGGGTATGGGCACGCCAACCGGCATGGGTGCTCCGAGTGTGATGGGCGCACCGAGCATGATGGGTACTCCGAGTGTCATGGGCATGCCTACCGGGCCTGGTACACCGTCAGGCATCGTCGGAATGGCGTACTCTACACCGAGCCAGATGCACCCCATGTATCAGCAACAGCAGCAGCAGTACTTCCCCCAGCAGGCGCCAACCCCGCAGATGAACGTCCCTGGAGGTTGGGTCTCCCCAGCGCAAACACCGCAGAGCCAGTATTTCCCACAGCCGTCACCGCAAGGCTACGGCAACATGGCGCAGCAACAACAGCAGGCTCCGCCCACGCAGGCTTACGGCGCAAGCTTCGACCAGGCGCAACAGGCAGCAAAGTACGCGCAGCAACAGCATCAGGGCCAGTACCGCCGTTAGATAGATGGGCTGTTCTTTTAGAGAGTGTTGAGGTCATTCGGGATCGATTACAATTGGATTGAAGAGTATGAGACGAGATGCCGATGTTCACTGTATATATTTCACGTCTGCATCTTCTCGTACATAATACTAAGCATTGAGTGTGGGAGCTTTGGATTGGGTTGTAGACTCGCACGGGATAGCATGGAGATGTTAATGGAGTTTATGATCATTGAGAGTGTTCAATTGCTTGATCACTTGTGGTCTTGATGTTCATGTCGGTTTTTCTTCTGCGTTGAAGATCTCAAATCACGCCATCTGTTAATTTTATTCTTCCCAGTCCAGAAACATCGCTACGCTCTCGCTCTGGCTAACGTGGAGCTGTATCTCAGTCTCAGAAAGAGGCACGTTCAACACTCTGCTCAAAAGCTGCGCAAATTTGAACAGCTCATCGCCCTTCCATCTTTGATGCTTGAGAATAGTTTTTCTGTGTTTAATCCGATTGCCTTCGTGGTACAGGAGGTCGATAAGAATGTCTTTTGCTGACTTGCGATAGTCGATTTTGATAGACTGGCCATATTCTGCGACCCCTACAAGAGCGTAGACTTTATCTCGAATGTCCCCACACTCATGGTCGCCATATGCTTCCAACAAATCCGAGAAAGTGACTGACACACGTGGTGTGGATTGACCCCGTATCATAGCAATGTCCATAGCAGGACTGGCGAGGATTTCGTGAAGGTGAGACATGTAAGGCTTATCGTGAAAAAAAGAAGGGTCAATAAGTTCCAAATGTCTGACCGCACTTGCGAGGTCCTCGAGCGATAGCACAAGACTAGATAACGAGACAATCTTTGAGCCACAATGTATCTCCAGGTAGTCCGCAAGCATGACTTCCTGTATAATCCACATCCGGGACCAATATCTTCTGTTACATAGTGCTGTAATGCTGCGCTCCTCTGTTGAGGTTAAGAGCCTCTTGAACCTAGGTACTCTCCGGGTTGGACGAGGCTGGTTACAGTCCTCGTCACTGTCGTCAATCTCGTCACTCTCGTCACTCTCGTCACTCTCGTCGGTATCCAAATTCAGCTGTTTAGTCCAGTCGACCAGGTCTCCGTCCAAAATCTGCACGGCAATGTCGCTATCATCGCCCTCTTTACCGAGCCAGATCAAAACTCTGCCAGCTTCTGAATATATGGAACTCATCAATCGAACTTGGTGATTACGCTCGTCGACCTCCGACTGCTGTATACAGATTGCGTCAATCCAGAAGGGTCCGTAATTTCCATGGAGTAGTTGCTGATGTAGGAAGTCCCATAGATTCTCGCGAATTGGGACACTGACGCCATTGATCTCGATATTGGTGTGCATTACATCGGCACCCCAGGTGTAAGACAAAGCAGTATACGATGGACAGTCTTCTGGGCTGTAGGTCTGGAGGCTGCATCTTGTGATGTCTTCGTCATTGTTGGGCTCGAGGATGAGCAGTCTGATCTCTCTGCGCGTCCGATCGAGGGGGCATGACGCATAGAGGTCGCCCATCGTCCGTGGTTCGCATGCGCTGGGTAAGGCTGATGAGCGTTTCGTGGTACACGACGTGAATCTGTGATGTGAGCGTGCTCTCGTATACGAAAGAGACGACGAGGAAGCTGCAGATATGTTACACAAATGGCTGCCTGAAGCTTCGTAATACCTGGTAGAGCGATAGAGGCTGTGTCGCTGAGCCCATGACGTCGAAGCTGAAGCGCTCAGCTCTGCACACTCTGGCCGTGCTATCACAGCCAATAACACGGGGTCAGAGGCTGTTTGGATGTACAGGTCTGCGCATCGAAGACTATACCATGACGACAGTTATTCTTAAACACAGGTAAACGTTCATTAGAGTTTACACTACGAGTCTAATGTTCCAATTGTCCGATTGATTGGAATGCGTGATGATGTTTGCAAAATGGAGTATGTCACCTTGGATTGATGCAGGATACCTCGGAAGGACAAAGTGCGGGGCATCCCAAGCGAGACAGCTACCCCTCCATGCAGCTTTCACGCCGCTAACCCCATCCTACCTCCGTCTCCACACCACACCCTGCATGAGGCTCGTCATAGTATCCATCGCTCACGATCCTCGGCCAACCTTGTTTCCATTTGGTTCCAAGCCTAACTCCGTCCGACGACATTGCCGTGAACGAGGATCGGTGTCTCGCTGCTGAAGTTCTTTACGTCCTCCATGACCTCCTTGGTGCCCTCACTCTGCAAGGCCTTTCCGACACTCTCCGGGCTGTCAAACTCCATGACGGTGCTGATGGCGTATGGACCATCGGCGTTGAGCTCACTGACGGCGTAGGACTTGAGACCGTGGTCTTTCCAGTTCTTCATGGCGAGCGGCATGTGTGTCTTGAGGTAGTACTCCTTGTCAAAGGTGGAGCCCTCCTTGCGAGGGTAGAGGACGATAGCGTTGGCGCCAGACATGATGAGGTATAGGTGGATGGTATCAAAGAGTTCTGTACGCTGTGAGTCAAAACCAACAGGGACTTGCAAGATGTACTGACTGTTGTAGATGCGATGCGCGGTGCTGAACAGCACTGACGTGGGAATTAGTGTCTTTATAGCTGCGCCCGCGCCTGGGATCGACTCAGTACCCCACTTCAAGATCCTTACATCCGCTTCGGTCCTGCTGTTTTGCACACTCGCCCGAGATTACTCGCAATACCAGTCCGATCGGGCTTAGGATATATAACGTCGACTTTTGTCAGCATGCTGCTATCTTTCGACCACGATCCAGCTCCAGACACACGTTACTGGAGCTTGGCCGGATCTTCCCGAGTGGATATCCTCACATGCGTCGGAAGGGACCTTGAAGATAGATGGCTACTTGCCAAGCTAATCTACTACCAGACACTTAATTCGACATCGTCGCGTCCACCGCCAGCTGTGCCGTAACGTATAACTCCGGTATAATTACGAAGAATCTTCTGGTGTAATGGCCTCGAAGGTCCCCATCTCCCTATTGCCCTGGCGATTGCGCTCGATCAGGCTGTCCTTAATAACCACGACTGTTTGAGCGCCGGGCTCCTCCTCTACAGAAGGGAGTATGGGGACAGGCAGATCGTCTTGCAGGCCAGATGACCTCACGTTTCCCCACACCCTTCCTCCGGTAGGCACCGCAGCCTTCGCCCATATGTACGCTGTTTTGTCCATTCCCCTCAGCCTGAGCCCAACGACTGTGTGCAGCTCTTTTGTAATCTTGGGCTGGACAACAACGCCTGGTCGCCATAGCTGGGTTTTCTGTGGATCCGAAAAATTCCGGATTGCAATACTCGTGCGATGGGCGATTACTGCTTCTTGTATGACGAGACCGGTACCGGAATGTACAAAACGTCGAGGCAGTATGCTGTTAACCACGCGACCTTCTTCTTCGTATGCACAATCCGTCAATCTGAATCGGAGTGCGGGATCCAGCCCAACGATTGCGTCCGGGAACCTCCCGCAGTCGATGGTACACGACGAGCCCGACTCGAAGAAGAGCTGTATTGCGGGAAAGAACGTGTTCAACGTCCAGTAAATAATCTCTGGGAATAGTCAGCTCTGCCATCCTCTCGCACTACGCATTTGGTAGACGCGCTCTCGTTGATCAATTGACTAGCTAAATCGGTTTTGTCCAATGCCGCTGTGTGTTCCAGACTGACAGTCCGCGGTATGAAAGCGCCGTGGTCCGTAGTAGAAACGGTCGTCGCATCCGATCCTCTTTCCTCGTCATCTTGCATCAAGGCCTCGCTGAGATGGTCCCGAGAGCTCCAAAGCCCTGGAAACCCACGGCGCCGTGCTTCTGTGGAGAGGTCTTCTGTTGGGCATTGGTAATAGTCCATGCGGCGGAAGCAGCTCGTGTTACCGAGAGTACATCCGCCGGATAATGGATGCTTGTGTAGTGGTCTTGAATTGCTATGACAAAAATGCAATTGATGTTTGTGGTTGCGATAGAGCTACGCAAAGATGTGCCCAAGAGTAGAGGTGTAGAAGCGCGCTTGCGTGCGCGCTGCGAATATGATGACTCCACTCTTATTGGAAGGAAGGAACTTGAGATGACCCACACTATGGAGAAAGGTCGCCCAAGAATTACCGTGAAAGAGCATCCAACTCCCCAACACCTAACATCGTGGCAATTGGAAGGTAAGTTCATCGGTCTTCGCGATGGTACCAGCAACGTGCGGACAGGCTGTCCATCACCTTTTCAAGCGAACGTCTACACTTTTAGTCCTGTGTGGAACACAAGCTCATATATTGCTTGATTATCTCTCATAAAGAGACGTCACGCAAGGGTCATGACTGCTGAACGTCGCTGCCGCGCACGCGTCTGGTGCTGACCTGCTCAGACCATTCCTAATCAGGAAAGGACGCAAAACACGCAGCCCTGGACCAGTTGACATCAAGTCCTTCAAGGTTCCTCCGCTCCCTGAAATTGTTATCACCTGATATACGCAACTTCTTTCAGCTCCTTATTGCCGTCGCACACGACGACTTCATCATGCAAGCGCCACGGCGCACCTACCCCAGTCTCCATGCCATCCTGCGTCAGCCCTGGCTCGCCTCACTGCACACGCGCATCGCATCGGATGCCTCATCTACACAGAGTACCAGTTTCTGAATGCATTCAAAGCCGTGGAATGTTACACAAGATACTGTCCCGTCAGCTGTGTGTAAGACGGGACGTGCCATGTTGCCCTACCATCATGCTGGAACGCTTATGCGCTTGAGCGTGGGATGAAGGCAAAGTAGCGGTGACTACGCGAGACTGCTGATTATCAAGGCTTGCTCACCGGACCATGTTGTCAGACGTGCAAGTTTCAGCAAGCTTCCTATCACGGTCCATGGGTAGCGATAGTGCTGTCAGCTGCTCAAACCAGTGGCAGACGGAGACGGAGCACGGCGACACCGTTGTCTGCGCATGTATTCGCTACTTTCCGGCAAAAGCAACACGAACGCCACGCGGATAGGGCACGATGCAAAGACACCGATTGGCTTACACGGCTTACAGCAGGCCTTCAGTCGACAACCTCGCTGCTATGAGTGGCTGCCTTTGTCATTGAGTATGTTGCTGGCGATGTAGAACAGAGCCATTCAAAGAGCGGGCTTACGTGTGAGCCTTCACGCGACTGGCCATTTACGCACTTCAATGTTATCGAAATACAACCCATGACGCTTCATGGTCTCCGTCTAGTGAAGCGTCGTTCCACGGCGGAAGTCGGCACTGATGCTTCCTAAAAGTCGCAGAAATCGGACGAACCACAGGGGCGGGATGCGTTCCTATTGAGCAAGGGAGTTCATGAGTCTGCGACACTCCCCGGCTCTTCGGATGTGGCTGAGAATATGTACCGGAAAGTTTGTGTGCCCTCTTTCGTGGGGGGGTTCTACCAGCCGTTCCATGTGCTACACCGGTCAGTGGCTTAAGGGCCATGCAAACACGCTAATCCAATCATGGCAAACATCAAGGCCGAACCCTCGCTGCGACCTGTGTTGCTATTGGATGTGCAGAGAGAGTTCGGAGGAGTGCGCAGGCCAGGATAACAGCACGGACGAGCACCGCATCGTCGTGTGATTACCATGAAGGACGATTTTCGAAAGTATTGAATTCAACATTGCTACAACACTGACAGGTCCGAACAGACTGGAAATACAATTTGAATCAGATATCCGCCCACTGACTGCTATGCGAAGCTAAACGTACGCTTACAGAAATTGAGAAAAAGCCACCAGAAGGCTCGAAGCGCTATACAGCCACTGCTGGTAACGACGTTGGCAGGGGGTACAATTGCTTTTTGCAGCCTCGTAACGACAGATAACGCCCACCATACTGACTGTGAACGAAGCAACGGTCAAATTGAGATAACGCCGCTAGAAATATGCGAAAGTACGCTCAACGCCAAGAGCAATGCGAGAAGATGCTCGGAAGCAATTGTAATGACCTCTTTCGATGGACAGAGATAGACATCGTGTTTGCGTGCGTAACTCAGAGAGAGTTCTCAGTCTTGACGAGCTCGTCAAATGCATCACGCCACCTGCGGACTTCGTCCTTGCCAGGCCTGGGGAGGGGCTTGCGAGCGTATCCTCCGTATCCGAAGTGAGCCATCAGTCCGGCCTTTGTTCCGATGATACCACCCTGAATGGCAGCCCAGTCGCCTCTGGCTACTATAGCCTGGAGCTTGCGGGCTTCTGCGAGCTTGCCAGCTTCAAATAGCTCAACGAGCTTGACGCAAGTCTTGGGTGCGATGTTGGCCATGCCGCCAATGATACCGGAACCGCCTCCGACCAATGTCTGCAGTGTGAAGTCGACGGATCCGCCCATGCACATGAAGCCAGATCCAGGATCAGAGACGGTGACTGCTCGGGTGGCTGCTGCGATGCGGTTCAGCTTTCCTGTGTTGCCACAGGTCAACTTGCAGCCGACAATGTTGGGATGTTGAGCCAGCTCGATAATGATGTCTGAGTTGAGATCCATTCCAGAGACAGCACCAGGGTAGTTGTAGATGAGGATGGGGATGGGCGAAGCAGTGGCGACATCCTGGAAGAATTCCTTTACGGTCTCCTTCGAGAACAGGCCCTGGTAGTATGCTGGTGGAAGCACCAAGGCATAGTCTCCGCCAGCAGAGGCTGCCTCTTCGCAGAGTTCGATGCATTCCCGGGTCGACTGAGCACCACATCCGACGATTACAGGCATGTATCCAAAGCCTGCGTCATCGAGAGCTTTGCGGGTGGTGTTTGTGATAAGGTCGCGTTCCTTGTGGGAGAGATGGACAGCCTCGCCATTGGACCCTTGAGTGGTGATACCGGCAACACCAGCTTTGGCTAGACGAACGGCGTGGCTGGCGGTAGTCTCAACATCAACGTTATCTGAAGTTGGTTCGAAGAACGCTACAGTAGGAACGTAGATGCCAGGAACTAATGACCGCCGGATTCCAACATCAGTAGACTCCATTGAGCTGGTGTCGAAGTCGGTGTATCGGTTCATGGTGTAGACGGATTGGACAGGATGGTGGAAGCCGGAATCTTGAACGAAGCTATTTGCGGGAGAAGGTGCGTCGGTGTGCGGTGACATGATAAGAAGAGTTCGGCTGTGGAGGTCTAGTAGACTTTTATACTAACAAAAGCTTGCAGAGAGAAGCGGGACTTTTGACAAAGAATAAGCGGAACGCAGCAACGACGAACGGAACGAATACGTCAATGGTTGATCGATGTTTGGTAACACCCCGAGGATAGTACAGGTACTTAAATATTTTCAAACGCCGGATACTTGACCTTGCAATGGGAAGTGTGGGGGTCCAGCTGACGGCGTTGTCAGGAGTGCTAGTGACGGCAGGCAAAGCAAGGTGCGTGAAGTGCATCAGAGAGGGATGGGCACTGGGCAGGCATCTTTGGTGACGACCAAAGGGGCGGTGACTCCCGCAGCCTGCTCGAGGTGCTGCTCTGCACGTAGCCGATACCAGGTACAGCTGTTTGCGCTTAGCTGTAGGGGTTGCGCGTGGCCAATAAACGCGGCGAGGATTGCTGATTGAAGCGGCGTTTGCTTTTTTGCTCACGTTGCATCAAGCGAGCAGGGGGTGAGAGGCTGTGAACATCGGATCTTGGCCGGACGTGAAGTGCAAGGGGGGAACGCCTTGTGACGATCTTTTGGAATCCTGGCTGCAAGCTGATAGGGTAATTCTCGCCACAGCTGGCACCATGCGAAGGGTTGGCGGGCTCGAAAGAGCGTTGATGGATACCGTTCGGGGGTGTTAGTGTGGGGGTGGGGGAATCGTGGCCGGCCTATTCGCATCATCTGATTCCGTTCAGCATCCCCGGCCACCCCGTCTTAACCTTCGTGGTCCCAGTCGGTCCAGCCGTCTAGCTCGGCGACCACTCGGACGTGCAGTAGAGCAATGCAAAGGGTAAGAGAAACCAAAGGATTCCAGCGGTGCTGCAAGACGTGGCAGACAGCATGGAGGAGAAGCTTGTCACAAGGCCATGCAATATCCGCACCGAGGCAGTCATCCATATCCGACCGCCGTAGGGCCACCTAAAACGGACCAAAATAGCGAACTTATCAGAGGATGCATCCCATGTCTCATCATTACAGAGCCTGGCCAGGATGACGACGCCGATCGCTCGAGGTATTTCACCCCACGCCCATTACTCTTGGTGGCGGGGTCTGGCCATAGCTCAAACCT